GGATGGAGAGACGGATGGAGAGACGGATGGAGAGACGGATGGAGAGATGGATGGAGAGATGGATGGATGGCTGGCTGGCTGGCTGGCTGGTTGGCTGGCTGGCTGGCTGGATGGATGGATGGATGGATGGAGATGGATGGAGATGGAGGGAGATGGATGGAGATGGATGGAGAGGGATGGAGATGGATGGAGATGGATGGAGATGGATGGATGGTTGGATGGAGATATGGATGGAGATATGGATGGAGATATGGATGGAGATATGGATGTATGGATGGATGGATGGATGGACGGAGGGAGGGAGGGAGGGATGGATGGACGGATGGAGAGGGAGAGAGAGAGAGATCACTGAGACCACTCTCTTTTCTAGACCTTCTTTACACTTCCTTTACACTGTTTCGAGGGGCCAAGCTTCGCGAGGTCCTGGTGCGCAGTGGGCAACAACACCAGCAGCTCTGGAGGGCTCTCATCACGGGCCCAGCTGAAACGCCCTACAGCGGAGGATGCTTTGTGTGGCTTCCTGGTTGGGTGGGGGGGAGGCTAGGAGAGCACTGAGAGAGGCCTTAAGATGCCTTTTTGCAAGATATGTTTAATTACCTCGGTTGCTGGCGTGGTCATCACTGCCTTTCCGCATGTCGAGACGCGGCATTGAAGCTGACGATGCGAGACGATAGGTGGTTTTGGCTGATTTCCTGGTTTGAGAAAGGTGCGCCCAGGCACTATATAACTCATTTAGCCTCCTTCCGGCTGGGCCAATCTGTGACCTCCGCCCATTGTATAGAACATGGTTTTTTTTTCTCGCTCACCAATCCAAAACACACATCCTCGAAAGCCCACACATGTTTCACGCACACACCATCACACACACATCCTCCCTTCTACCGCCGCGATACTGTGCAATACTGCCGTACGGCGGCTGAGATCTTCGACATTTACTTTCCCTGGAGCTATCCAAATACGCCTCCACAAGTGAGGCTACTCACCACAGGCGGACACCGCTCGACCCTCGGGGCTCGTCTCGACCGGCCGATGAAGAACGGTCCAAAGCAATCCCCTCAAGTGCCTGGGAAGTGCTTGATGAACCCTTGATTGATAACTTATTGTGGAGACGGTGGAGGACCATCGTCACCTGGTGAACATCAAACTTGTATAGCTTAAAATGTATAAAATCCCTGACACCGTGCCACTATCTACTCTTCAGCAGGCGTACGTACCCCCAAAAAAGGAAGAATATGGAACAATAATGTTTTCACGGTCCATGTTAACCATACGTAGTTGACTGGGTGCTGTTCCATGTAAACCGGGAAAAAACTTTGGGGACCGCCATAATTGCTTAAATGTATGCTTTGGGCCTGCGTCGGTGAGACAAGCTGATTTCGTAAAGCTGGACAAGCTAAGCAGCTAAGGCTTCTGTCAGACATCGAATGTCTCTCCCTGGACCTATCCAGTCAAAGTGGAAAACAGTCGTGTTGAGGTTTGTAGAGGAACATGGTCTTCCAAGGGGTTTTGTCCTTGAGGTCCTTGTGAGCCCTTCAATCGAAGGCAAGATCCATATCAGTTAGCGGCCGAAACGAGGGCCCAAACGAGCCTTTCGGGTTCGGCCGACACCTCAGTGGAGGCCCCCAGAAGGAAGAAGTAGATGGAAGTAGATGAGTTGATGGATGGCGTAAGTGTTATGTTCTTTTTGACTGGCCTTCGACGGTTTTAGGCTACAAGACCAAGTCCTAGGGGTCCTGGGTTTGGAAGTCTCCTCCCAGTGCTCATCCTCGGCCCTCCACTTTTCTCTGCCCGACGGAGGTCCTGACAAACCATTCGCCTGCCATTCGCAGTCCAAAGCCGACCCCTTCAACCTGACCTTATTTGGGCTTATAGCCGCCTAGACATCCCATCCAGACCATCAGGCCGGGGCAGTGCTTCAGCTCCCCAACCGTGACGCCGCGACGGCTCAAGCCGGTCAAGCCACGAGCCGGCTCAACCTAGTTGCGTCGAGACGTCTCCGGGGTCATATCGGTGCCAATGACGCTGAGGGTGCTGCTGGTCCTTGGCTGGGCAGCTTCCGTGAACGGTGAAGGATGCGCGGTGCCCATGACCTTTCCACAGAGCTCCACTGTGACGAGGTGAGGCTTCGGACGAAGTGAGACTTTGGATGAGGAGGGCTCAAGCCAAGGCGCTGATGAGGTTGAACATGTTGAGGCATCGCAAAATTGAGGCCGGATTTGCCTGCCACCTGCAAACTACATGAAGTGGATTCAGGCAACCTCGCAGACACAATCACAGAGTCTCAGTGTTTGGATTTTGTGAAGCTAAAGCATGAGCAAATCATAGCAAATCATGGACTCGTTTGAGGCCTGTGTTGAAGATCTAGATGAGTTGCAAGACAGAATCCAGGACAATTGACATTCTTGCCGGGACCATGTCTTAGATCCTTTGGCAATGCCTTTGTAAGCTTATCAACCCACACCTACAGTCAAAAACCCCGTGGTGAGCATTTGGCTGCCTTGGTGGCTACTAGTGTGCGGCAAAACGCGGCGTCGGTGTCGTTTACTTCCCTACGTTGAGTCGTGGACAACAGTGGACCTTGAGTCATCACCAAAGGAACGGGGGGGAGGCCGGCGAGGCCGTGTAGGCGGCCGGAGCTTTTTCCCGGAGCAAGCTGCGGCCCAGCTTGCAAGCGCACATCAACACAATTGAACACCCCTCCGGTTTAAGTGGGAATACTTGGATTCCGAATCCCATGCCAATCCCTTGCCTCGAAGCCCTCTTCGATATGGGGGTTTTCTTCCCATATCTAACAATCCAACAATCCAACACATCTTCCTCCGCCACGACCGGGTTTTGACCGCCCTCTCAGGTCCTTTTGGTCGCCCAACGCCGCTTGGAGAGGGTGGGTCGTCTTTGGCACCTGGTGTTGGTCAAAGTCATTGCCAACCCAAGCGTGGCTGAAGGATGAACCAGGATGATGCGGTAAGGATGGTAGGATTGGGCAACTCATATGATGAATTGCTGTATAAACCACCTGTTTACTCAATTCAATTCCATAGGCACACACTCGCACATGCGTGCGATGGGTGCGTGCAATGGACTGTGAGTGCTAGACACAGATCTTGGCATTTGCTTGTTGGCATGCATGCAGACTGACACGATATCCTGAGTGACAATGTATAATATATGACATGGCTCTTCGATGCTGTTCGTTGGAGAAACCCCCACTAGAGCAAGACGAACTCCGTGGGGCTCTTCACACTCCTCGAACTTGGGGCTCTTCCGACGTCCGCAGACGTCGTCCGTATCGACCGGAGGGTCCCCATGACCTCGGCCGCCGAGGCGAAGGTGGACTTCTCTCCGATGACCTTCATTCACACCGACGGCTACTGTCGCAAAGGGCCCCCCCGGTCGTCTGAAGGAAGGGCTCGATATCCTGGTCGTAGTAATTGGTAGGAATGGACATGGATGTTCATCATGAGTTTGGTAGAGGAACCCCTAGGACCTAGGAAGTCCAGTTCGACTATTTTTTACTGACTGAAGTAAAGGATGTTCCTTTTCAGGTCACCTAAAGACTCTTCTTTTATTAGTCTTTGACTTTCAGGGGAACAGCGATGCAAAGATGACTCACGTGAACTCCTGGCGGGGGGGCCATGCCAAAGGTTGCTTCCACGAGGGCCATGCGACGCGAGTCATAAAAGTCTCATACACGAGTCTGTCATACGTGTCACGAAGCACGCTGGCCCTCCGGCATTTGGCGGACCGGGATCCATGTGGGTGGCAGTCGCATGAATACCCAAACACTCCATGGGACTGCCATATATGCCTGCATTGACCCCAAAGCCACCCCAACTGATCGGCAGTCCGGACTGACAGTCCCATGTGCCGTGTCTGGGATATGAGCTTAGTGTTCACAGCTGCAGGCTGGGTAGTGAAAAAACGATTGACCCCCACTGCACCTCGGAAGGTCGCCATACTGAGCTGTTCGGCCCTGTTCGGGCCTGTTCGGCTGTTCACTCAAAAGGGGTCGTAAGACTTCGGTGAAACCAGAATTTCACCCATGAACAGCATGTACCCAGGGCACCGATGTAGAAGTTCAGAAGAGCACCGTGAAGAGCACCTGTCCAGATGAAAGCGACCGAAATCGCACTGCAGGGTACGCCAGAAACCGAGCGCCCGGGCCTGCGCCGTTCTGACCATCCCCAGAAAAGCAATGGCGCCCGGTGCGAACGAGAAAAAGGATTGGCTTCAGAACCGCTGAAATGCGTAGGCGGAGCCAATATTAAGTATACGGCGCACGGATGCGCATGGTATAATAGATATTCTGATTATTACTCATTACCTGGCCGGATTGTTGATAGGGGCAGGTTTCTTACAGGGACCAGGGACGGGTTTGTCCCAGGATTTCCTTTGAACGAAGGATTGCCCATCCATCACAAGATTGTCAGTATAGAACTGTGCTAGGGGAGCGGCCTCTTCCTGGACTCTTCACCCGCTCCGACATGGCCAAAAAGGACACCCATGTCGCACCCTGCTCCCCCAGCCCCGGAGATCGGACCGAACTAGACGGAACCGGTGGCCGAACTAGATCGACCGGGCGCGGATGCCAACGGGGTTCGCTCCCAGGGAGTCCTGGCCCCACGACCCTGCTTTGCAGACCAACGTCGGCCGCCGGGCGGAGAGCTGGGAGAGTGCGGAAGACGTGTGGAAGACGGGGGGGGAGTGGGGAGTGGATGTGGAGAGGAAAGTGGTAATGGTTCTGGTTGGAGATGGGATGGGAGTGCGAATCTTTGGCGTTGGTCTTGGTGAGACTTCTTGGAGATGATGACTTTAGTAAACATTATTGAACCATTTTCAACAACATGTCTTCAGAACTCTTCAAGGTTTTCACAGGCCTGCTGTCCAACTCAGAACTCTTCCACTTGCTGAATAGACCTTGCCTCCTTGCCTCGGCCATTTCACCCATCTGTTTCCAACAGCTTCGGACCAAACCGGGGTTCCGCCCCAGGATCCGATCCCCAGGGCCCAATCGCCCAAACTCACCGAAGCCCAGCAAGCTGAACAGGCATGTTCCCAGAACAGGCCGGTCCCTTGCCAAATAGGGAGACACCGTGAAACACCATGCTAAGACTCTTACAACTCGTCACTCAGGACTCTCAGGACTCAGGCGCCTTAACCTTCATTCCCAGAATGACTGGATCACCATCATCACTCGATGCTTTCTTGAGATGTTTGACCTGGACATTAGTTCATATTAGTTCCAACTTCTCGGCGTGTGCCAATCGTGCTGCAAGATGAGGGACGACCAAGTCATGTTGGGTCAAAATATACAAGTCAAGGTTTCGATGTACTGTCGACATTGGTTGACTGACATGATCAGATCCCAGCATTGGAAGCACCAGTATGCCAGGATCCAGCGAAAAGACCAAAACCAGACGACCATCAGATGTTCTTTGTTGTTGTCACTCTGCCCGATGTGTTGGTACTTATGTTGGGACCTGCACTTTTTTCCGCAAGCCAAGAAATACCGGATACTTAGTATATACTGATACTGTATACGGATATAGTGCACGTACAGAACTCGTGGCACTATAGAAAGGTCTTTTCCTTCGCGGGGGACGGACTGGACCAGGCATCCGCGCGAGCCGCGCGAGCCGGTCTCTGCAGGGCAGGTCCATGGAGCACCGAACAACGCGCTGCTTGGGCTAGGGGCGGGAGAGGCCGGCAAGGCTCGGTTCCTTCACTTCAGAACACAACCTCCTTTTTGGAAACAGCCGAGGTGATTTTTCTTAGATTCTAGTTTCTATGGCAGCTGGCGCCATTTACAGCATGCAGACCAAAGCCTGGGTCCAAATGTGGGACACCATAGACTAGACCTTTGTTGCCCATCTTCTTGCTACTTCCTGCAGCGGCCAAGCACTCTCTACAGCAGACTCCGGAGAGTCGCCCCCAGATTTACCAAGTGAAGGACGTCGCATGGAGTCCACCTGGAGGGCGACTTCAGAGCCAACCGGTAGGGCGAGTGTGGTCGGACGGTAGGAGTAGCGTGTTTGGCCTAGCCGTCATCCCCAAAAGTTTGGTGCTGGATACGGAAGGCTCAGATTATTCCTCGCACTTCCTCATCAGGTGCCTGATTTTTGGCAAGCAGGTGGCTCACGTTCCTACCTATAAGGGTTCGTGCGAACAAAAAGTGAGGCAAGGTAGGCTGGGCCAGGCCGGGCTTCACGTTTGCTTGGCCTCAGCTCTAGGTGGTGCCCAAAGTGGTTCTTCTGGGCCCTAGTGGCCCAGATGATCCACTCGCTTTTGTATGACTGAGGTACAGAACCCCCATGATTTGGATTGATCAACCCCTTCATATGCGGGGGTTAAATTAAAATATAGATTAATTAATGAGTCTACACTAGAAACTGAAAACCATTTCCTTTGGAACTGCTGGCGTATAGTTTCGTTTGGTTTTAGCAGGCAAAACTGTTGCTTTGGCCGCGTGCTCGACCGCACAGGGCGGAGCGTCCGTGGTGGTTGGTGTTCACCTGAAGTTGGAAACATGAAACCACTGTTTTTGGTATCTCGAAGTGGGTGTGCACTAAAATAGGGAGACCTCCCAACTCCCTGGAAGAAGGACAGACCACAGCCAGTTGAGAGGTCGCCCAAAGCAAGAAATACACACCCACGTGGCCCAAAGGAGGTCTTAGTCCTTGGACCTTCGCGTGCTCTGTATTTCGTCTCATTGTCGGGACAACCAGGGTGCCCCTTTTCAATAGAAATCTCGTTGGAGTGTGTCCTGAAGGGTTGGTTTGGGGGTAGGGTCCGGTGGTTGTGCTTGGTCATTCTTGACACGACACGAGTGGCATGGCTCCCACGACACCGAACTGGCGTAGAGATCCAATGGACGGTCGAGAGTGCCAAGAAATGAATGGATTGCCAAGGTCTATCAACAACACACTCATACAGCATCTTGTATCATCTTGTGTAATTTGGATCATCGGCCGCTTCGTGGTTTACAAGGACAGTGGTCGCCGAAAAGAGATGAGAGCAAATCAACCATCAAACCCCGACAGCACCCTGCATGATGCAGGATGCATGAGTGGCATTCTGCCGACAGAGACGTCCGGACGACCGAGTGGAGCTTCCCGAAGAAACGCCCAGGTTTGGGGACAAGCTGTGGTTTTGCTTCGAAGATGCTCGGCGGTGGATGAGCTTCTTTTTGTTGGCTGATGGAATGGAGGGGCAATAGGACAAAACTCCAAATATGATTAATTACAGAAAACGACGTTATGCGGGTGTGGTTTTTACGCGTTTTTGTGATTTGTGGTTTTCTGTGTTTTTTTTTTTAAATGTTAGTTGTTTTGAAGAACGTGTCTAGCAAAAATGTCGACTTGTAATCTATCAAATTTCTCATCAATCTGATTCAAACATACTAGTTCTCATTGATTCCCACACAGAAGTCCATCAACCATCATCTATCAGCAAGTCCACGACATCCCATCATACAACATCAGGTCATCACCTCTATGAGGGAGATCTGGTCTCCAAGACCTCCAATCTCAATCAGTCCTCAATCTCCAGCAACTGGGGCCTGGGCCTGGGCTTCTCTAGGGGGGGGGGGGGCAAAAAAAAAAAAAAATGGTATTCGGGGAAAGGACAACCCATTTTTTTTTTGGGGGGGGCCCCCCCCCCTAGAGAAGCCTAGGCCCAGGCCCCACTTGCTGGAGATTGAGGACTCATTGTCAATTCCACGAGCTGGAAGTGGCCCAGGTGCTAGAGATAGTCAAGATTATTGATTTCATTATAGCTACCTGTGTAAGAGTAGCAATTCCACCACAACTTCTTATATTCCTCTCGTCTGTTTGAAGACACAACTGTCTGCTCCTGCAAGCACTTGTATATACTGTAGGCTCTATGTGGTGAGGGTGGATACCTATACTGTATGGTCTCAATGATGGAGTGTGGAAGATTGTCTTGATTTGATGGCTTAAGATATCCAATGAAAGAGAGAGATGGGCATATAGCTAGAGAGCATAGGAAAATGGAACTTCCAATGTGGATGAAATGAGATGAGATGAGATGAGATGAAGCATTGGGTGCATCAAACAGCTGGCATTGGGGTTGTGGCTGTATGTATGCAATTTCATTTGAGACCAAAGGCGACTGCATAGACGCAACACCTGCATGAGAGATTGGGATCCTGACTTTGAGAAAATTGTATTGCTATACAAGCCATTGAGCAAATGCCCCAGACAGCAGCGCAATATGGATGGCGCTTTGATTGGGTTTGTTTGGCCTCCAAGAGCACATGGGCACCATGTGAGAGGGAAACTTGCTAGGCAATCAATGAGGATGGGGTCCATGGAATGGGTTTGTGTGCATGGTTAGGTGGCCCAATGGAAGATCAGAACCATTTGGGTACAACATTGGTTGATCCTCATGATTCATGCTATTGGTAGAGCATATTTTTGGCACAATTTATTGGTTTACTTTTGGGTGGGTGTTGGTGAGGTCCAATGAGGTTTTGAGCTTAGGTGGCATCGCGAGAATGTCCTTGGCAATGTTGGGTGAATATTGGGAGCATGCTGAGCATGCCAGGTTTGGTACAACCTGACTTCATGTATGTCTATGTGTGGGCAAGAAGGTTAGGGTGAAGAGAAGGTAGCCTTGGGAATGAGTAGTGGCCACACAGCCAATTCAGACCCTCAGTGTATCTAAGGCTGGATCATTCCATGGGCTTCATAAGATTCTTTGGAAGATTTCGTCATAGATGGGGGGGATATGGAGCATAGATCTGAAGAGCCATTGGGTGAGAGCAGT